AAACCTTCGCGCACTTGTTCCGATGGGCTAAGTTTATATTAAAGCTCCTGATCAACGTGTTGCCTCAGAAGGTACTTCGAAATTTTGCGATTATGCTTATGAGCCATCCCAAACAAGAAGTAGCTGTGGTGCACGATATAAAAACAGCAAGAATTCACAACCTCTGGTCTTGTTTATCATTGTGTGTACCTGATAGCAAGTGGCAGAAGTGGGTATCGCTTGGACATCTGAGAGGTTGCGTCGAATTCGGATCACACGAGAACTGTGTGTCAACATGGCTGGCTAATGGACAGACTACAGGGCAACAGTGCCCGACTGGTGAATCAGCAGCAGCCACACAGTACTGACCAGGAGGACAGTCATCTTGGTCTGACGGTAGATTAAAGGCCTAAATACAAAGCAAATCAGTATTTATCAAACACTACCGGCGCCGGATAGTAATGTGACCACTAACAAGTGCTGGTTCAGTCTTGATCACACAACGCTGTCCTGGGAGTCCTCCAAGAGGGCAGTTCGCAGCGGCAACGCAGCGTGAACCCTGCAACATGCGAAAATCTGATTCAGATTGGAATCTCAAAGCGGAAGTGCACTTGCTCGATAATAGTTACTTCACAGTATATAAGAGAAAGCTTTTTACAACACATGAAGCTCAGAATCTAGAGGAATGGAGGAATTGTACCTGCTGAATGGTTCCAGAAATACAGACACATTGTGAATTCAGACAAGCAGAAAAAGGCGATGTACAGTCATAGTGTCGCGAACAACGATCACCAACCCGTGAACCTGAAATTGTATTAGGTCTAGTATGGTAGAGTCCATGGAAGAACGGCGTCAACTTGGACGCTACCCCCATGTCACAGCACTTGGTCCTTTAAAGGATGAAATTGACGGTGAACGATGATATGATGATTGTTTCAGTCACACATTAGAGTTTGTCTATAAGCATATCCAATCCCCATAAATCACCCTGACCACTCCAGGTGCCACATTCTTCCCAGCTGCTCATGGAAGACATGTAAACGTCGATGAATTTGGGTTGCAGTCCTCGATTTCATCGTGTCGTTGTTGCCGCGGGATTTATTTCAACAATTACTGAGAATTAGCATCGTTACCAACTCATTCGTACTTTTCTGAATTCAGAATCCTTCACCATTATCCCCATGAGAAGGTTGTGTTCGGAGTTGAATATCGTTGTTCAAACTTCACACCTCATCAAAAGGGTGGGGATTCGAAGAATTAATTTAGTCTTCGCTTTGCACTTGCCCTTGGACGGAAAGCGAACATTTACATTTCCTTCCTTTGTGATTATCTCATGGGAAGTCTTATCGCCTCATAATCGGTCATCTCATAGATCTTTAGTCAACTTCCTATGAACACAGCGTCATTGTCTCATTCATTTGAACTTATTCACTGCAGAAGCGTCAGTTTTTAAGTTCTGCCGAAATGAAAACCGGTGAATCCGCAAAAGACCATTAGGCTGGTTAGCCACGGTTGAGCATAATTCGACAGATGGTGCTATTTGCTTTTAGGGATGTCAGGTATAGGCTTTATCGTTGGAGAGAGGTCGAATATAGGCCTCTTGGGGAGTGATGGTATATTTGGGGTATTTCGAGACAGTAGGGATAGTGTAGTGTGGAAAATAACGTAAAAGTTGATTTTCAGCAATTGCACCCCCCCCCCCCCGACTAATGCCTCCACTCCTCGACGCATTTCTGAAATAATGGCTAAACAGCGTTATCCGGCCTTCTATCAGATTTCAGGAAAGTCCCGGAAATAGGGACAGTATCAGAACAACACACGTGATTGTAATTCCCCCGAATTCCTGTGTTGAAATTGATTCTTAAAGGCACGATTCGCGATCAGGTCCTTGGAACAACTGTATTTCCAGTTTAGCTCTCAGAGCTCAGGAGTAGTGACACTGTTGCCTGCGAAAAACGCGACAAGGGTGCTCTCGTTCGTAGCATATTCGTGTTTGTTCGCACAACGCTCCTCTTGCCTATTCGGTCTCCTCGCCGAGCTGTGTTCCTTCGCACCACGATCGACCTAATAAGAAAAGGAGGCCCTTAACTCAGCGTTTTCTATCTTGTTCTGCTTTGTTCGTCGCTGGCAGCCCTCTTCACTCCTCTTTATTTGAGCTGAAGAACACACTAATTCGACCGCGACCCATGCCTTCTAATGACGCAATGTGTGAGCGCAATCTAATTGAGATAAGAATCACGGCCAAGTTTTTACAGCTACATAACATGACAACAACCTGAGAAGACCTACTTCACGTTTGCTATTGTTACCAACGTTTCCACCGGAGGACTCCAAGTTCAAGGTGGCGTTGCAGTTCTCCTCCTCAGGTCAGGTCACCCAAAATTGGGACACCACTCATTTGCTCGAAGCAAGCTTAGGACTAAGCCTAGGCCCAATCATAGGCTTAAGCATAAGCCAATGTGTAAGCATAAGCCTAAACCTAAGCCTTGAACCAAAGCTTAACCTTAGGCTTCAATGATCTCTTAGCTCGTGACCTGACCCAGGAGAAGAACTGGACGTCTCCCCAAGTTCAGCAGGTGCTGAGATGGTTATTTCAGAAACGGCTGTAAGCGTGGATCTATCACTAGGTTAGGCCATGAATGAGCAATTGCTTCGAAAAGTCATACTTGTAACACATTCTCCATTGCTTATCCTTGTCGTCCCTCGTTGAACACATTGACATTCGCCATTCCGACAGAATAACGGCTCTCGACATTTATTCGTACAGGGAGCTCCAACTTTAGCAGGAACTGCAAATTATTGCATTGAATTATTAATTATCACACTGATGATAATATGTACCGTAATCTTAATGAACAAATAAAGACTCTTGCTTGTAAGAAAAGCGAAACTTACGTGGCACACATCTTATATTCCTTCCTTTTTCGTCATTTGCTTCGATGTAGTGTGGATGACAACGACAGCGATTACGAAGACAAATGGATCCCTGAATGTGTGTGCTTCCGCAACGGATGGAAATATAGTATTCATATGTTCATTTCAGTAGAAATTGTAGATGCTTTCTAGAGAGCCGAGAAACAAAAGTTTTCAAAAGTGATCGAGCGCGTGAATGTTAGCTTTGGAGGAGGCTCCGCACAAAGCATTCTTGTTACATAACAAGAAGGAGGCCACGAGACCATTTTGGAGCATGCAATTTTTACGGCATACGATACTTTGGTGCAGGCGCTCGTGATGCTCAACAGGTGTGATCGCTCTCCATAAATGGATGTTCAATGGTGCCACGGTACCAATCAAAATCGCAAAATGGAAGTCGTAGTATGGCGCGCATGACATAGCACCATATCTATCTCATTTTATTTTCCATTTTGAAACATGCTGGAAGAAAATTCTAACAAATTGTTGCACTGAGTCTGCATTAAAGGTGGAGCATGACAGCCCACCCAAAATCAAGGTACAGATGGTCAGGGATGCAGGGATGAAGAAAAACAAGTAAAACAGAATAGATCACGATAAATGAAACCTTTTTTGCTATTCGATTTCCGCGATAGACGTGTTTCGCCGGCTGTGAATACATGAACTTTAACACTCTCTCTGCCAGAGCGGCCAGAGTCAGACGATGCGGGGTGGGCGGGCAGCAGCGCGAGCGGCACGGGTAAGGCTCTGCTGGGCCGCTTGGGCATGCCCTACGCTGCAAAACTCGCATCTTCCGCTCCCTTCAAAGATTCTGCCTGTCTTATCACTAGATATATACATCTATATATATATTCATCTTTGACCTCCAATGAAATCCTCCTTAAAGGAAGCCTGTCTTTAAATTCTCGAAAATTGAGAAGCAGCTAGTAGCCTGAGTCAAGTGGGATATGGAGGTTCACTAGCACAGCAAGACAAATACTTATTCGTCGGCTCCAAGATTGCATGCTTTTTACACTTTGAATTCATCATTACATTCGCTACAGCACCGGAAGAAGCGGATCTTTTACAGACACTAAAAGTAGGCTCCAAAACCTTCCTTTGTCTTTGTCTTTTTGTTCCAATTATGCTCAGAAAAACCTCACTATTGAGTTCCATACATTTACCACTTCCCAACAGCATTCAAAAATCTGTTCATAGCAAATGATCAGGAAAAAAGTGAGATGCGGAAATGGTTGAATTGGGGTCATAGCACATCTATGAACAATCTCATCCAGTAAAATGGAAAGCGCAATTTAGAAGGGAAAATATGAACTCGAAATCGAAAAAACTTATTAGGAAGAAAAAAGGCTCACTTTATGCTCACAGTCGGCATTGATGTCGCAGACAGCTCCGATAGCAGATTTTCCTGTATGGGAATGAATTAGCATTAGCACTTCACTCAAAACAAAATTAAGACTTGTAGCTCGTCAGTTTACGCAACATGGATCGTACGTAAAATACAAGGATTGAGAAGGTGTCAGAGGAAGCGTAAGTTGCTCTTCAGCATAAGTTGTTGAAAAAGCTTGTATGGGAATATACATGAAAGAAGTGCTTACGCTCAAACTGGAAGCTGCTTCAATCGAACTCTTATAGCACCTCTCTAACATGTCGGAGTTGGTTACTACCTACTACAGAGTGGTCTGTTGCCTAAGACGCTGGCGAACGAATATTGGAAAGAGTACGACCATTACAAGATTAACCAAGCACTGTTGCTTTTCCTCATCATCTAATACTGTGCCTACTTGAATAAGCAGATGGGTCTTCGATGAGAAGCCGAATAACAATAACGATATGTATACGTATAAGTCAGATCCATCTGAAAATCATGGCATGTCGTTAGTGCAAGTGCAAAGTTGCTCATGTAGCACATTAGTGAGCCTGAATTATTCGCCCACTTGTTCGGTGAGTCTGTTTCCTTTGAGTCTCTCCACACACCTGTCCTGAAGTCCTCATCTCTGTTTGTCGTGACTTCAGTGATTACTTTGCTTTGCTACCTCCAAATTCTGTAACGTGAATGCACTACACTGTTCTATAAACTGATCCTTGGCGACCTTGCTGAAGGTGGTCGCTATTTGATCGAGTTTGTGGAATACATTGGTTCCAAATTCCAAAGTATTACTTCGCTCCTCCGTATTTCCCCGTTTTCTTAACTGTGGTTATCACAAAATTCGTGGAGTCCAATCAGAAACCCAAACCACCCACTGAAATCCTGCTTCACTTAGTTTTGTCGACACGCTTCACGCTACCCTAAATTCAAACCTAACTTATGTTTCTTTTGGATCACGCTACCACTAGTTTCAAACTGGTATAATTTAACTTTTTTTTGAATCTGTTTCACTATATCACGACATATTACATGTATTCGATTGATGTTGTTGTAGAAAACAAATTGAAATAGCTTCGGAACCCTCTCGAGGCAGCAAGAAGTGCCTGCGGTGGATCAACCTCCAGAGCGGACTTTTCTGTGATAGATGAGAAGCCAGTCTTTTGCATGAAGTCTGCGAAACAGAAGAAATGCGTCTGCATCAGCTTTTGGGAGGAGGGATGCCCTGTTTTTCTTTCTCACCAGGAAGGTCTTTCAGGGCGTGACAAGCTTTTTGAAAACGGTCTTTTGCATGATATAGGGGCAGATGCGGGAACCACAGAACCATGTTCAATTTTTCCTGAACGGCCCTCTGAATACCAGAAAAGGGGTCCCTAGTTCGATTCCTCGTGGTGACAAATTTTTGCATTTCGAGTTGAACTTCCAAACAATCAGAAATCAATTTTGCATGAAGTTTGGCACG